CAGTTAGTCATGTGGTGCACAAACACCGTGTAAATTCATGCAATACTTAATGGTTATTCCAATTACCCTTAATGCCGTTTTAAGTATAAAATACAGCAAGTGCTGATTACTGTAGCAGGACTTTGAAAGAGTACAGCTGACCAGAAGGGACCACATACGTTGTTCGGTTGAAGAAGTAACTAAAGGAGACATGGAAAATGTCTGTTAGAAGCAGCCATAACAAATGCATTAAATTTGTTGGAAGTCGGGTGTAAGAAACGTCCAAAATTAATAAAAAACAATAATAATTACTATTTCCAGCCAAGGCAAATGGATGTTGCAATGAGGAAGGAGGGATGTTTGAGATGTAGCAGCAGGTTCATGTTAATCATCGCGCCCTCCTTCGAGTCCTAATTCTGCTTAACAAATGGACACTTGCCTGCCTGACCTATCACGCTGCTAACTTATGGGTATAGGCATAAGACTATAAGTTGCACACCTAATGCAGTCTTATACTTAACTGCAAATTCTCAAGTGACTGCCTCTTATGAACTCTACATTAGTGATTTGGCTTGAGCGCCCTACCTCCAAGTAGCCAAATGGAAGGCTCACACCTGTCACCTCCCCAGCGCGCATTTAACCTCTTTAGGTTAATATCACCTTTGCTTTAAGCACACGAAAACAAAATTCACTCTCTATGCAATGAAATACATAACAACAAATTTGGAGGGTTAGTTGTAAAGGCATAAACCACTTCTAATTGAAAGACCGAGTGTGAATAAGTCAACAGGATTGCTTAAAGATCGCACTGATAGGAGTGATAAAATTATAAATGAATTTTACTTTTCCTACGACAGCTCATTAGCAAGATCTGCTATTTACGAGCTTCCTATTTACCTTTGTTATGCCAAAAAATTTGGTTGGATGGCATTTATTTTTCATGTTTTCAAGGTAATTTGTTTCAATTTGCAGCTTGAGTAAGTTTAACACTGCATTTTTGTACCAACAGCCGAAATTTAGCCGATCATATTGTTAGGGCGCAACGTATCTCAACACTTTAACTAAAGGAAAATTCGCCCCTATTCTGTGGCATTTCAATGCGTAGTTTTGTGAGGGCAGTATGCAGCAGGCTTCAAAAGACCTCTGTGTAATACCTGGATCGTTTGCGAGGGCATTTTCTAATTGTTTAACCTGGTTCCTTTAATTAGGAGTAATTTTACCAAGTAGCCTTTAACCTGTAAACTTCTTAGATAGAGATGCTGCTTAATTTTCAAGTGATAATAATACCTTTGAGCCTAGCTATGCTGATGAAGAAAACATCCTTATTTATCTGAATTGCGAGTTCTTAAACCACTTCTCACTTAAGTCACTCTTACAAATTTGGAATCCTGTGGATCTCATTTTGGCAGATTTGTGGGCTTTGGATACCAGGGCCTGGAGGGGTCAAACTTAGAACAAAGGATGTGTGTCTTTTATTCTTAACACAGATCCACAGCTTTGCGTTACTCATGCATAGTTTCTAAATTGCGGATTCGGTTAACTGCAGTTGCAGAATCAGGCTGTTTTCTTCCCTAAGGTGGACCAAAAACACCTTTTAAATGCCAAAACGATTCATGTCTTAGATGTACGTATCTAATAACCTTTATGCATTTCTGGTCGTGCAATTCAACGCGCAATGTTCAGAAGCTGTTTTTCCATGTTTGTTGTACTGAAAAAGCTCTTTTAAAATAAATATACAGAAGTCGTAACAAAACTACACTTAATTATCACGGTTTCATGCTCCACGATGCGTTATCACTTTCTACCACTTGTTAACAGTCAGCTTCATTCCATTTTGAAAGGAGTTTTAACACAAAGGACAAATAACTACTCGCCAAGTTTCATCTTCTCAAAACATTTTGTCGATAACTACACATTAGGGGCACAGACTTTCTGAGTTGTGCAATAGTTAAGTCTCACTTGTCTCAGTATTTACCTTATAACCCGTAAATCGGCGCAAC